CTTCCCTTTTGACCTTTAATTATTTACGGAGCACAATTAGCTGGCAGCAGCCTGTGCAGACAGTTTCATGTTACTGGCATGGAGGCCCTTTTTTTTCTTTTAAATCTGGAAACTTTCATTTTACGGGGACGAATCACCGGGATCCGAGGACTCGCTGTGCCGTGAGTCACCTGACCCGTCACCCGAGACGCGACATTTGACAGGCGGCGACTGGGACACAACCCGATCCGGCGTCCAGGACAAAACATATTAAGTTTTGACACTCTGGAGACAGAATTCATCACTTTAGCTGTCACAACTTTCGCAGCTGCTTTGTCCTCTGCAAGGTTAATGTGGCGGTGATGTCATTACAGATCACAGCGGTGTCATCCACCGTCGCCGCCGCCGCCTCGCTCTGCCGGGGTTTTCTCTTTTTTTATTTTGGTCTTCTTTCGTCTACTTCTTCCTCCTCCTCCTCCTCGCCAGCAGAAACGCCTCGACTTGACCTCAATTAAGGAATCCATTAGAGATGTAAATAACGCTAAGCCAGACAACCTGACGAGAATAATCACAAAGTGGGGAGGGATTTTCTCTAAGGCAGAGCAAACACCGAATCCACATAATGAACCGAGCGGGAAATGGGACGTGCTCGCTCGCCGTTTCTATGTAAACGCACCGTGTTTGAAACCTCTCGGACTCGGATCGGTGAGGCTGCGACGAGGCTGCTTACCGTCCTCAGATCGACGGGGAGGGAGACGGTCGTCTAATTGTTGCTTGGAAACCGGCCTTTGTTATTTGTGAAATGTCACCAGCGGCGGCGGCAGGTCAGCCAGCAACACACAGAAACAGCCTCAATGTCGGCCAAGCGCCGAGCCGAACGGCAAACAGGAACACAACTGGGTCACGGCAGCAGAACCAGTCCTGATGGCTCACGAGACACGATCCAGTGGAGCCTCATCGGGTCGTTTCTCTGCCGGGTGTCGAGTCCTTCCTGGTTCTCTGTGTTTGTGCGGTGATTGTGTTGCTGTGTTTTCTTGTCATGCACTGGAAAGAAAAAGGAAAGTGACAGCAGAGGTCCCAGAACATATGTAGAGATAAATAAAACAGAATGGAAGACTGTAACGTCTAAAAACTGTAGAATAACTGATTTAAATGCAGTAAAATAGTGAAATTTTTACCTTCATACATCGAACAACTATTTGCAAAAAATGTTGTTGTTTTTTTACAGTCAGTATGTAAATTAATACATTTTCTGTAATTTTACTTATTATCTGTGATTTAACAAAACAGCCAGAATAACAGTTTAAAAAATATATGTATTTGCCATTTTTCTGTTCTTAATATACGTCATTCTTTAAATAAAATGAGTATATATTTAAAAGAAATAGTGTTTGTAGTTTTTTTTAAAAGCATATTTCAACACAGTTTTACGGTTAAACGTCGTAAAAGAGCAAATTTGTAAAAAAAAACAAAAAAAAAACATGATAAAATGTTTGATGTCAAAATTATGTGTAGTTTTAGCCTTTTTGTTTTTTATTATGTGTAGTTTTAGCCTTTTTGTTTTTTATGTTTAATCACAATTTAAAAGTTTTTTTTCTGTAATTTGGCTTTTATGTTTTTACACTTTTACTGGATCTCATCTGTAATTTAACAAAAAGGGACATCGGTCATTTCTTAATATTTGATAAACTGAATTTTGTTTCAAATAACAACAATTTTTTTTTAAAAGTGTGTGTGTATATGTAGATATAGATCTTTTGCATATGTCAGTCCAGTTAATCGATGTAAACAACAAATGACTGTTTGTAAAAAAAATATATATTTAATGTGGACATTATTTACAATTTGGTCCTGTTTTAGTTTTTAGTTTTGTTCACGTGAATCAATACTTTTTTTCGATGACGATGATAATTTATTAATAATAATAATAATAATAATAATAATAATAATAATAATAAAATAAGATCAGAAGTCTGTGACACAGTTTAAATACAGTCGTTGATTTTAGTGCTTATTATCTGAAATTTACCAAAACAGGAGAAATCTGTAAATGGTTCAAGATAATACAAACTGATAAAGTTGGTTTTTGCACTGCGTTGACTTCCTTGATTGCATTTTTCTGCGTTCAGTTGTTCATTTTTTCTTTGTGTTCATCCTGCAGAGAAGAAGGTTTGGACGGTTCTGTCCCACAACAGTTCTGCCCCGGTCACCGTCCAGAGCTCCTCCCTGCAGAAACCTCACGTCATGAAGCTGAACTACAGCGCCTCGGCCGAGCAGCTGCGAGCCATCGTGTCCGGGTCGGAACAGTGCCAGCAGGAAGTGGTGTACAGCTGCAGGAAGTCCCGGCTCTTCAACACGAGAGGTGAGACGCTGGCTTTGGTGGAAACAAAACGCTGCACACCATCACAAACACACCGTCCCCACTGTGAAG